GGATGCGTCCCAGAACCTCGCTCGGCTTTAAGCCCAATTTAAATTTAGTGGTAAAGTCTAGACTTGTCCGACCAACTCTGAAACGAGTTTCGGGACACCACTTCCGAGTGCAAGGGGTCACTCCAATGCGTGGGCCAAAAATTGCCAGTATGAGAGGGGGGGTTGTCGAGAAAGTTGGCTGGGGTTTGAGCAGCGAATGAGTGGTTATCTTTTTTGGGTGTGGCTCAAAATTAAAGAGCCAGCGTTACGCAGGTTTTAGCTGTTGGTTCTATGTACAAAGGCACCATTTTGGCTCGATGTTTTTGAGCACAGCCATAAGAAGGGGGGGAATGACGCAAGATTTGGAGTGAGTCATCAGATGAGACTTGAACCCTTTCGAGGTTTTATCAGTGGTACTTTGAAAGAGCTCACTGAACCTGTGGATCAGACCCCAAGCAGAAGTATGACACTGGGTCCTAGCTAGGCCTTAGACAACCCTCATTTACTCTTGAGCAAATACATAAATCAGCGGTGGATGACACGTTTTACCAAAGGAGCAGCTTGCAAGTTGGCGCCAACGAGCTGTTGTTTTTCCTGGGTGGTTTTTTTACAGGCTGCGACCTGACACATTCGCGAGATGTAAAGCAATTAGCGCTTCCTGGGCTTGAGGGTTCTGAGGGAAGAGAAGCCAAATGGACTCATGGCTGGTCTCAAAGGAGAAGCCAAATTTTTGAGGGCCATTGACCGGCACAAGCCGTTTTGGGGTTGCCTTTTTTAGACCACAGCCATATTCCTAGGAAGCTGGAGCATTGAGTGTGAGCAGTGCGAGTGGCGGTTTGTTCAGCTTGTGGGCGGGAGCGGTGATGCCACTTCTGAACTATGCCGCGGTTTTTGTGTGTTTTTTTTTTCCCATGGACGAGGTGAAAACCAGTTCTTGGTGTTTGCTCGCATGCTAGTCTGGCAATCTTCCTTCCTGTGACTTCAGGAAAACAGGCTCAGGATGGGTTGGGTCTTGGCAGGAAGCGATCGTGAATGACACAGTGGGGGCCTCGTTTTTTTTGCGCTGTGTGCGGGTGAGCTGTGTAATCCGCAGGTTGAACTCCCAATCCGCAAGATCTTTATGCCAGACAATGCCGTAGCAGTTTCCGACCCTTGTTGTATTTGTTTTCCATTACGAACGGATTATGGAGTGCGATTGGGGGACTCCCATTTGGAACAGCCCTGCAGTTTCAGTAGTTTAGTTGAACATAGATGGCACGCATTCCACTTTGGTGTGACAATCCGGGCTGTCTCGATGCATTGGCCAACATTGTCAAAAAACTCTTGTACTTCCAGAGCCGGTTGTAGACTCAAGTATGAAGTCAACCCTCCCACCGTGTCCAGAACCCCCCCCCCCCCCCCTGCGCCCCCCAGCGATCTCGTGGCGTTTCCCACAGGTCTACGGCCTGAACAACGCAGTGGGATCCGCAAGTGGCGGCAGCCTCAGGGGCAGCTTCGGGCAAACGGCTCTGGCCATGTGTGTAATCTGTGTGGTTTCGACCCAACAGCTTGCAGGTCTCTCCCCAATCGCTCTGGAGTGGTAGACCGCAGACTTGCCGGACGCTTCCACGAACTTGGCGTGTTCCAGAGCGACCAAAACCGGCTCTCAGGTTTAAGCGGATGTGAGAGATGTTGTACAGACAATTCACTGCTCGGTCTGCTCTCAAACCCAAACCTAAGCTTCAAATCTCTACTCTGCGCCCAAGGGCAAGTCTTCTCCAGAGGTTTTGTCCTGGCAGGAACATCCCTAGGTGACCAGGTGTCCTTTTGGATGGCAGCAATTGCGTGATAAGCGAGGCGTGACGCTCGATCGCCAGTGGCAATAGCACCTGCAAGCTTGGAAGACTTTTTTCCTCCGGTGTGTGTCACTCAGCCGCTTGTCTTTGCGGACATCAGCCAACTGTTGAGCCAACTTGGCGGCCTGATGCCCCATCTGAGGATTCCCACGGTGGGCCAACATGAAACTGACGCGGGCTACCACAAGACGCCGGCGAGGGCGAGATTTGTTTTTCACCCTGAGGTGTGCAAGGTGCACGTCGGAGCAGCTGAAAGCCAGGGCTTTGCATTGATCTCAAGCACATCCCCTGTCCCTAAGAATGGATGGCTTTCCATTCCCACGGCCGAAAAGGGGCTCTCCAGTTTCGGCCATATCCTTTTGGCCTGTTTGGTTGGATAGCCGACTCCAACCTAGAGCTATGAACTGCCCCTGAACCCGGCGAATCGAGTGGCGATGCACCCACCCCGCCATCCATCTCTCCTGTCTTTGGGTCGGATGTGATGGGAGTCTGGTGTTTCTTGGGGGGCCCAAAAAGGTGTTTGTCCTCTTGGTGTCCCTTTAAAACCAACCAAAAGAGCAGGATTCCTCTAAGAAATGTAACGACCCGTTCGCTCATGTGCATGGGTTGAGCTTGAACTTGTACTCAGGATCTCTTCTCTGCTTGACCTTTAGCTCTTTGGCCCTTTGGCCCCATTTGCCTTGAGTGCCCTGTGAGGAACGCTGGAGCTGTTCACTAGGCCTTTGTGCATAGGCCATCTTGAACTTTGGAACCAACAAACACACATACACACCAACCGGTTGCCCAAGACTGCCTCTCTCGGGCAGAAAAAAAAACCGTGGCGCGCCTTGCAACATGTCTTTCGGTCTGTGGCCGTCGGCCGATTTGCCTGGGATGAGGTTTCTGCCTACTTCCACGTGGTGCGGAAGTGCGTGAAGCGTGCCCTCGTGGCTGCCACCTGGGAAGGACCGTGAGATTGAAGCGTTGAAGGCGCGGGAGATGTGTTTGTATGCTTGCAGTTTGTTTGTTTGTTTGTTGGTTGGTTGGTTGGTTGGTTGGTTTGGTTTGTGCTGTTTTTTATTGGATTGTTTGGTCGGTTCTTTGATTGCTTGGTCGGTTTGTCGTGGTTCGGCTCGGTTTGGTTTGGTTTGGGTGTTGCTTGCTTGCTTGCTGTTTGGCCGGTTGGTTTTTGATTCGTTGGGTGGTTTTTTTGTGCTGCAAGTTCTTTGTTGGCTTGTTTGACCCGTGTGGCACCCCGTGTGTGTGTGTGAGTATTGCGTATATTTGCGTACATGGTCCTGTGCTGCGGGGGTTTGCTGTCTTGCTTTGCGTGACTGTTTTGCAGGGGGGGTCTTTTTTAGGGGCCCACCGAGATGGCAGCTGTCTTCTTGGTTTCCCTTGAAAACCAAAGGGGTACCCTCCAAAACAGACAGATGGAGTCGCGTGACGCCGGTGTCCTGATCAGTGCCCGGAGTGAATTCGGTCTCCATCTCCAGTCTTCTTTTGGCACGCCCGGGTCACCGGGTCGCTTGAAGTTCTCGGGAATGTTGCTCCTTGCCACAGGGATCATTATTTAAGTACTGTTTCTGGGCTGATCAACGTCCGAAACGGGGGTGATCCCCCCCCCAAAAAAATGAAAGAGGGTACCTAATTACAATAAAGTGTTTTCTGCTCCGAACAAATCTGTATGCGTTGACGTTGCCAACTCTTTGTCATCCCTTGTCTTCATCCAGCCCCAGCGACACCCCACGCCACCACCGCCACCGCCACCGCCACCACCATGAAATCTGCCACGAAATCTGTAATTACCTTGCCTTACGAAAGCGCTGCGGTCACAGTGGAACGTGTGTTGAACTGTTCCACCAACACAACGTTTGCTTCCGCGTCTCACGCCGGGTCGTTTCCCCCCCAAGCCTAGTTGTTCCCCCCAGCCAACCGAGCTGACCGATACTGTCGTAACCCCGCTTCGCAATCAGGGCGATCACGGGTGCTTTCACTACCGAGAAAATTGGCATTGCTCCACCGCCCTCGATCTCCGCGTTTCTTAGTTTATTCATGGCTTCATTCCTCTAACGTTGGAGACTCGGAAAGACCTCGCAACGCAAGGAACGTCAGGTGATGCGCGCTGTGGCTGCCGGTTTCAATGAAATTGCTTTGCAATGAGGTCACAAAGAAGAGAAAGCACGGACAGGTTGCAAAGTTCATAAGTGCGGGGTTGGTTGGTTGTTAGTTTGTTTGGTTGGTTGGTTGTTTGTTTGTTTGTTTGGTTGGTTGCTTGTTTGTTTGGTCGTTTGTTTGTTTGTTTGTTCGTTCGTTCGTTCGTTCGCTTGTTTGCGTGTTTGTTAGTTAGTAAGTATTGTTTGGTTGGCTTGCTTGTTTGTTGTACCTGGGTTGTTTTCTTCCATGATGGCTGAAGAGCTCCGGATTTTGGGAATAGCAGTCAGCTGCAGCTCGTTTGTTCTTTAATGCTACATGATAGAGTCTTACTGAATAGGTGATGTGTGGTGGCTTCTTGCAAAATCCACCAAGACTCGTGGCAGATCTCATTTAAAGACAAGATGCGAAGAATTTCCCAAGGTAAAGAAGTGCTTTGCAACTTGTTCCTTGATTTAGTTGATTTGAGGGTAATACAGCCGCTTGCATAAGTTGTCCGCGGCTTCGCGGATATAGACCAAACATGGACGACATTGCCGGCATCACCACAGCCCCTGCGAGCTTCGAGACGAGGGAAGACCACTTTGGGGGATCAACTTTGGTGGACAGAGCCCTTGACCCCTTGCATGTTAACCCCCCCAAACAAGGGACTCTTAGAAGATACAAGGGACTCTTAGGGTTTGCATTCACCCGACACATCTACACAGCTAGATCAGCTACCGTGCAAAAAGCTGCAGGTCTGAAGCAACCAAAATCGGATGCCGCGAGAGACGTGCGCGACGGCCCGCGGTGTCTCTCGCGACATGCCACGTTGCCAGGTCCGTCGATGTCCTCAGTCTCATGGTCAACCAGGCGCAGACCGAACACCCTCGATTCGCAGGGGCATGGAAAAAAGAGGAGTTGTAGTCAGTCATACCACTATTCTCAAGGAATTGGGCGCAACAGTGAGCTTTGATACAGCAATTGTTGATCAAGCAGCTGACGCATTTGACCTATCGCGTTGTCATGACATGTTGCGGGGATCATGTGGTTGTGAACCCTGCATGTTTTGTCGGAGCGTTTGCCGTGCCTCAAGCTGCCTTGTGATTTGCCGTTGCTTCGCTGCATGGCGTGGGTGTTCAGCCTCGTCCTCTTCCCAGTGGCTGCCCAATTATATGAGGAACCGGGCAGTGCATTTCCCACGCCGACTGTGGAGAGCAATTGCTTCCAAGACAACTTGGCCGACAACCAAGTGTATTACCAGAAGCTGGATCAAATGTTCAATGGCTCGTCGGATGCAATTTGCCCGAAGACCTTGGGTCTTTTTGTGAACAAGCCATGCACTTGGGCAGCCGGCAAGGCCACCATGACTGTGGCGCCGGTGATCAACCAGTGCCATTGGGCCATCCGCAACTTCCACTGGCATGACAGCTCGGATGAGTGGAGCTACATGGTTCAAGGTGTGATGCAGGTGATTTTGACCTCTCCCACTGGTGTGCCTTGGCATTCCGCAGTCAACACCATCGGCCCCGGTGGAGTTTGGTTCTTCCCGCGCGGATGGCCCCACGCCTTCGTCTGCGTCTCTGAGGAGGGGTGCAACTACGTGCTCACCTTCAACGGCCCGCAGGCCGTGGCGGTCAATGATCACATGATCGCCGAGACCTACGCACAGCTGCCAGACAAGATCGCGTCCTACTCCATGGGCATGAGCATGGGCGAGTGGGCCACTGCCAAGCCTAAGGTGGCCGCCAACACCGGCACCTTCTTCACCAGGGTGGATCCTGCCAAGTTCACCTGGCTGCCGGAGGAGAACGCGGAGCCGGCGGCAGTGAACCGCAGTGATGTGGAAGTGGAGGATACGACTCCGGGCGTGGGACAGGGCATTCAGGTCTTCAACATTCGAACGGCTCAGTTCCCCTTTGCCACCAGGATGTCTCAACAGCGCATCGTGTTCCAGCCCGGAGGATTCCGAAACCTGGTTTGGATCACCAATGCCGCCGCCACCATGACTGTGATCTCTGGTCATGTGAATGCAGCCACCCAGGGCGGTATCAGCGGTGGATTTGACCAGGGGCCGTCCTCCAAGTCGTACCTTTGGTGCATTTTGCTTGGCTGTTAGGACTTTAACTTTTTGCCAACTAATGGGTTTTCCACTAAACCACTTAGCAGGGGAGCAGAAAGCAACCGAGGTACGTGGCAAAGAGTCTGGGGCCCTACGATGCTTTCTACTTCCCCATCCGCCGTGGCTACTGGATCGAAGAAGCGACTGGAACGGAGCCGGCGGAAGTGATTGTCGTCTTCGAAGTGGGCAACTGGTTTCTCAAATTGGTCACACACCTCTGCCGTGTTTTTTTTTCTTTTTCTCGTTTTTGATCGTTTTGGGGTGTCCAGAAGTTCGGAGTCTGCCCTGCTTTGTCAAGACGTCCGAAAGTCAACCATGTCTCTCCTTTTTTTGAGCTGTTGGGTGGTTTGTCCGGTCACGTGAGCTCTGGGCTAGGCAACTGGAAAGCCCTGGAAGCGAAGACAGGCTTCGGCTGCTCCAACCCCGTCGGGGCTCCGTGGGCGTATGAGGCTACGGCGGGAGGAATCGAGTGCCCGTCGTCACCGGAGTTGATCCAGCGCAGGAACTTGCGCCGTCACGAGCCTGATGCTCAGTCCTTCATGCAGCAGCCTGCGGAGAACCCTGAGCTTTGATGTTTCTCAACTGCGACGGTGTACTAATGTGCACTGTTCACGTGAGCAGGTCTCAATCGTTTCTGAGCTCTTTTCTAACGTGCTGCCGTTTCTTTGCCAATGTGCAGAGCCGGCGAAGCGCGAATCTACACGGCTAGATCAGCTACCGTTCAGAAAGCTGCTGATCAGAAGTGACAAAAGTCGCATGCCGCAAGAGATGCGCGCAACGGCCCGCTATCTCTCTCTCGTGACATGCCACGTTGCCAGGTCCATCGATGCCCTCATGATCGACCAGGTGCAGACCGAACACCCTCGCCCTCGGAGGCGAGATGGGGAAAAGTTAGTCATAGGAGGTGTGTCGCTGCTCGGTGCGTTTCACGGGAGGTTGTTTCTTAAAGCCTCTTGGAGGAAGTTCCCCGCTGGTAGTGGACATGATTTCGGAGTGTTCCTTGAAAATGACACCGCATCAGTCCGCTTGTTTTGGTAGGAAGCAGGGTTTGCCACACTGGCTTCGACAATGGGGGGATAGTGGCAACCCCAGACAAATCAAGCTGGTGCTAAGCATGGTGCCAATTTTTGGCCTTCCTCGTAGTTCCAATATTTTACCAAGGATGCTGTTGCATTGTGGTTGACTCGTTTTCCGTTGTGTAATTTCTCGAGTCCTGATTGTAGAGCTCTTCTGTTTGTGGATCCCTGTTTTCTTGTGACGCTCCATCATATAGCTGCTGGACTGCCATTTTGCAATCTTGAGTGTGTGTTCGCTCGCCGAATTTGTAGCATGTTCAATTTCCTGACTCACTCTAGTGTTTGTGTCCTTTGTTCTTGCCTTGCTTGTAGTGTGATCCTTTGTCTTTGGTCGTATAGTTCTAGTTTGGCTTTCCTTTCCATTCTTGGCCAAAAT